GTAAAAAATAAAATTTTAAATTAGCAAAAGTATAGAAAAAAGCACACCTTTCTCTTCTATCTACTTTTCAATGCTTTTTAAAATTTCTGAATACATAAAATTAATTTAATCAGAAAATAACTTTACAAAAAGTTAGGGCTATATTATCACCAGAAAATCAGATTAACTGCTGAAGCTTCATTACAATCACTGGGTCGGATGAATTAATTTTATCATAATTATTAAGAAGTTACATAAAATAATGTCAAATAATTAGGACTAAAAGTAAACTTTCTCAACTTCGAAGAAATACTCATAAACAATCCATAATACATTTAAGTCAAATGGTCTTACATTCCAATCACCATTGAGGAGATCTGCAAAACTCAGAAATTCACTGGCTCTCACAAGATCATCCACTTCCATGAAGAAATCTATGTAGTTTTGGTGAAGATATAAATTAAATAATTCTCCTGGCATATGTGACATTTCTACTACTTCCTATAAAAAGAAGCATACACATATAATTTTGTTAAAAATGCAGTGGCCAAATGTATTATGCTCACAAATGTAAATCATATATATCCTATAAATAGTACTCAGTGGTATTAAAGACTTTACCTCAGGCTGAACAAGCATTGCATCCCGTTCATGCTCTGATAAATGTAAAGGCAATCGTGGTGAGTCTAACACTGTTAAAGATGCTCCTATAAAAAAATTTCTGGAATTATTAAAAGTAACACATTTTTTACAGTCATATAGCACCTCTTACTTGAAGGTTTTTCAATGCTTCAGGCATATATATGATGCCAAAAATACTAAGCAAACTGTTAAAATGAGAAATAAAACAACAAAGTTTATGTGAGTCACCTATTACATACGGAATTGCCTATCACTATCAGCAAGAACTAAATTTAGAATTCTGATGTCTGGATGGTGGCTTTTCCAGAATTAAAATACTCTGTTTCTCAAGTATTAGCCCTAGCTCTTTCTTGTAACAGAATACATGACATTTTAAAAAATGTGGTATTTTATTTCAGTTTTCAGATTCATACTAACAGATTAAAAAAGAAGTATGTCTTCTTACTTTTACAATAGAGTATTTTCCCCAAAGCTCTGAAGAGGAAGAGAGAAACATCTTTGCCACCAATAGCTTGGACCTCTTGATTTTCAAAACCTCTATCAGGTTTTCTCCTTTGTTTTGATTTTGACAGTGCAGCATCCAATTTCATGGCAGATGTTCCTTTTTTCCTTGGCCACAAATTGTTTCCTCCTAAAGGACAATATTTTTAAGATATTAAAATACAAAAATTAAGATAGAACATTTCAGATATAGTAACACTAAAAACTCTAAATATATTTTTCTAATAAACAATTATAAAATACATAAACTGAGTCAGAGTCCTCTATTAAAACAGAATGTCATCTGAACGTCTCTTATGACATTCAAATTTTCACATGTACAAATGACATTCTCTAATACAGTCATATCACCGTGATTTCTCACATGGTTACGTGCAAAGTATTTTTCTTGGTGCATGATATATATTAACTAATTTAATCTTCAGAACATTCTGTTAGCGGTCAACTATTATTATACAGATTAAATAAATGAGATACAGAAGTTAAATAACGGGCTCAAGGTCATCAGCTAGTAAGCCAGGAAGCCTGGTTCTGTAATCCATGCTTAACAGCTGCTCTTATTACATCTCTACTGATTTGGGCAGTCTCCAATTTATGAATATGAGCCTGTGTACAGATTTCATTGGTAAATTTACTGCTTAAAACTCAGAATGTGTCACTTACGAACAGCAGCCTGGACTAGCAATAAGAACACAGGATCTGAGTTTGAATCCTAATGTTGTCTACCTCATTAGGCTGGTTTGAAAATTAAATGAAAAAACATAGTTGCTAACACAGTTCCTAACCCACTCAAAAATTATTTTCCTCCCTTTAAAATTTCTGAGCTCAGAGCAATAATGTTATAAATGGCAGTTAGGATCCCAAAAGGCAACCTTTTGCCTTCCCAACCTGTAATTACATGCATGCTTTACAGGAAAAAGCAAAGTTCTAGTTTCAGTTGTGTTAGGCTGCATTTCTCTACAGTTACTTTGAAAAACAAAGATGCAGACAAAATGAACAAGTTACATGTGTGGACAGAAACTAGGATTTCAGGTGGATTTTGAGAGCTCTAATGATGGCTTTTAAGGTCAATTTCTCAATGTTAAGCATGAAGTAGGTCACTTGTTGAATATTTTCTGATGAGCACTTGTGCAGCAGTAAAAATTTGACTCACTGTATTATTTATCCATAAAAAGAAAAATTCTGCCATTTGCAACAACATTGATGGATCCAGAGGGTGTTGTGCTCAGTGAAATAAGCCAGGGGGAGAAAGACAAATACTGTATTTCACTTATTTGTGGAATATAAAAACAAAGCAAAACAGAAGAAACAAAACAGCTTTAGACTCATAGACACTGAGAAGTGACTAGTGGTTATCAAGGGGGAAGGGAGTAGGTGGGAGAGGAGGGGTGGGGGCAGACTGTTGGACCACTGTGATGTACATTTGGCTAAAAATGTAACCTCACTGCCAGGCCTGGGGTTCTCTTTTTAATACAGTATGGCTATATATCCTTTTTACATATTAATAAAGGGAAATTAATTTATTAAACATATACACAAATTACTGTGAAATAAGTTAAAGAGTAAACCTACCTAAGCCAAATACTATTAAATTCATTAACAGCTAGTGATTTATTGAGCCCTTAATATGTATCAAGCACTGGAATAAACATTCTACAAGTATTACCTCACTTACTCTTCCCTGAAACCAGTTCTCACACAAAAGGTGATAAAATAGAGGCACAGAGAGATTAGGTCTCTTGTAAGATTAAATCACTGGTAGTGGCAGAGCCAGGATTTTCACCCAGGAAGTGTCATTCCAAATTAATTTGAATGGTAAAGTACCAAACCATATAAATGAATCAGGTTTTGTCTCAAGTATGACATACTCATTCATAGGGTTGTATATGCATGTGTACATACATAATTCTATGCTACTGTCTCAATTATAAAGTAGTAAGTGGAGATGGGTATTTATCAATTATAAGTTAGAATATATTTAGTTTGATTTCATTTTATGAACAATTAAAAGCAACTTAGTCTCACCTATAAAATGCTATAAGAATGCATCCTCCATACTTACCTTTTGAAGAAGAAAACTGTAGGCTGTTTATTGCACTTCTAATATCACCAGAACATCCTTGACAGAGCAACTCCAGAGAAATTTTATCAGGGACAGTAGTATTTCCTCCATTCTAAATGAGAAAATTTAAAATTTAAAAACTATTTTCTAAAATGAACAAAAAATCCCCAAAGCCCATTTTCTAAATTTAATGGAAGTATATTAGTATCTTCCAAATATGAATGCTAAAAAGCCACCAGTATGCTTATGAGGTACAAGTGTCAACAACTTACCACAGTTTGAAGTAAAATTTCAAGAGGTATAAAATATTGTTTGACTTGCAGTAGGTTATATTTTGAAGTTCTCTCTCACTATATAAACACATGTGTACATATACACACATACACGTTACATGTTTACATATTAACATATACATGCATGTGCATACACACATGTATATGTTCATATATATACACACACACAGACCTCAAAACACAATATAAAGCTGAGTACACAAAAAAATTTGACAAATCTTTGAAATTTACATGAAAAATCCTACACTGGGGTTTTCAACATATTAATAGTCTGTGGAGTATTAAAAAGTCACAATTCCATCAACTCATATTTAAAGTCTAAGCTTCATATGGATATTTAAGACACATAAAATGCATTTATATTTTTTAAAGAAATTATGCAAATTAAAAAAATATATAAAATATCACATATCATACCCTTTGTAGTTCAAGTGTAAGGCAAGAAAAATTTACTGGTCTCTCCTCGCTCAGAAACTCTTACTGATTTATTAGCAACATGACTGAAGTTGAACTCATTTGATGGTTCACATGAATATGAACTAAACTTTGTCACAACTGTTAACATTCTGGTACCTTTCCAGACCATTTCTTGTACAAATATCTTTAAGTATATCTAGTATCTGTAAGTATATATATAGATACACAGAGTTAATTTTAAAAATATAAGTAGAATCATGTATGTATTTTTCTCTGACTGATTGTTTTTACTTACACTATTCTTTTGTGATGTGTTAATACCTTTAAATCTATTTAACGAAAAAAATGTTATGGATATTCCATGATTTAATATTTCCCCCAATGAAGGGGGACTGACATTGTTTCCAATTTTTCAATGGAAATTTCAAATTTCCCTACTTGCCAACATGCATGACTTTCTGTAGAAGTAGAGTGCCCTCCAAAGTGTCTACAACAACTAGCTACTTTTGTTTTTCCTACCAATAGTATGTGAGAGTGCTTTTCCATATCTTTGGCAATCCTGTTGATCAGTAGTTTAAATTTTTTGCAAAGATACATGACAAATGTATCTGGCTTAAATATGAATTTCTGTGATTACAAGAAGGGCAGAAATCTGTTTCTCTGATGTTTACTAGCCATCTGTACTTCATTAAGTATTGGCTTCTGTTTTTAGTCTTTGTGGGCACATTTTTATATATCCAGGTGTTAATATTTTACCTGTTATATAAATTATAAGTATTTTCTTTCATTCTTATGCTTGTCTTTTAACTTTGCTTACCATGCCTTCTGTCATTTCCTAAGTTTTTCAATTTTTTTTTCAGGTAAATCCATGCCTTTCAGGCTTTTGTTTCTTGCTTAGGAAGAATTTCCCCCAACCCAAAGTCAGTATTTTTTCCTAATAGTCTTCCAATTTTGATTTTTGCATTTAAACCTTTAATTACCTGGGAATTATTTTTGTGCAGAGTCTGATATAAAGATGCAACATTATGTTTTTCTAAATGGGTGTCCAATTGTTCCAACACCACTTATTAACCATAATAGTCTACTTTCCCAAGTGATGTAAAATGCACACCCATCATATACAATTCCCAGTTACGTGTGTTGATCTATTACTGTGCTGTCTTATTTTGTTCTTCTGCCTATTACTGTGCCAAGACCACATGGTTGTAATTTCCATAGTTTTATATTTTGTTCTAATCCCCACAGCAAATCTTTTTGTTTTTTACAAAATATTCTTGCTCATGTCCATGAATTTCTCTTCCAGATTAACTTCATTTTTATTGTAAATACATTTAAAAATTATTTTGAGATGAGTGCTTGTTTCTGAAAAATCCTTGATATGGATTACTCGCCAAAAAGGAAATGTAATTTGAAATCACGATCCTTTGGAGTTGAAGGAAATACCACACAGATGTTAATTACTATGAACATGAAAATGTGGCTGAAATGTGTGATCAGTTCTTTCCACAAATTACATAATTCATGATGTCAGATTTCCTATAGAAATAGGGAAACATCTATATAAACTAAAAAAAAAATTTAAGATACTTAACACTCTTTTAACGAGATCACTTAAGATGTTAATACATTTTCTTAATTTAATTAACGAAGGCATAGAATGCTAGAGATTAAACTCTTTAGATCTTCCTATACTATCATTATCACCCCTGGAGACCCAGACAGTATCATAACATTTGATTTTGTGAAACTTTAAAGGACTTGAATTGCTTTGTTATTGCTCCTGTGATGTAAAATATCAACAATATCAAACGTGTACTGGTTCCAACATTCTTGCAGGTCAACTTTTAAAGGTATAGCATGTTAACTACATAACATATGGTATCTCTTTTCACTACTGTTCCACAACTTACCAAAGTAAATGCCATTTGCAGTTAACAGTCCTAAAAGTAGTTTTGAGTTAATGTTGCAAAGTAATATATGTTGATTATTTTATTATTTTTAATGTTTAGTAAGATATTTAAAACTATAATTTATAGGTATGCTCACAGCAGAGAATGTAGAACTATTTATTTTCAAAGGGACAGCAAGAAATCAGAAATAATCCTACCACCCAGAACTCACACTAACCATTTTTATGTATACTTTCTTCTAGCATGTTATTATTGACAATTGTTTGCTTTGTTTTAGAATGGTGAGTTGGAGAACAAAACTTCAAACCCATCTAATACTTAACAGTTGTGGGATATTATGCAGGTTTATTTTCCTCCCAAAGCTCAGTTTCCTTACCTGCAAAATGCAGGTAATGAACCAATTTTGTATGGTTATGGTGAGATTTAATAAGATCAGATACGTAGAAATACTTTGCATAATATGCCTGATATGTATCAAGGGCTGAAGATACCATTTCTATTGTTAGCATTATCAAATAACTTTGCAACTTATTTTTAACTTGACATTAAATTGTATTTTCCTGTGTCACTAAATCTTCTCAAAACACTAATTAATGATGTAATACTTTTGCCAGTAGTAACTGCTCCCTTAGACTCAGACTGTTTTGAATTTTACAGTATTAATAGTCATTATTTGTTCAGCTAAATGTTCTATATATTACATTAGTTTGCTTAATCCTCAAAACAACCTCACCCTTGGAGATTTCCTTACTTTCTGTGATGCGAAATTATGTTTCATGTAAGATCTAGCTGATTTACAGCAGTAGGGCCCTGGCCCCTAGAATCATGCTGCTTGGGAGTAGAAGTTGCGATCAGTTTATTTTAGTATCATCTTGATTTGAAAGCAAAAATGATCCATTAAAAATGACAACAGTTGTTTCACAATGTTACATACTTAATACTAAAGACAACATAGTTAATAATACTGTATTAAATATTTGAAAGTTGCTAAGAGAGATCTTAAATGTTCTCACCACAAAAAAGAAATGGTAATTAAGTGATGTGACCGAGGTATTAGGCAAAGCTGTCGTGGTAATCATTTTGCAATACTAAGTGTATCAAATGAACATGTTGCACACTTTAAACTCACATGATGTTACTACATGTCAATTATACCCTAAAAGGCTGGAAATGAATGGTATCTAAGATGCTAAATTTTATGGTATGTTTTTACCACAATTAAAAAAATCATTAAGAAAAAATTGACAACAGGACAAAAATGGATCAGACTGTTGATGACTAATGTGCCTAGATGCCACGAAACAGTTTCTTGATAATAGACACAATTTAAAACTCAATTTAAAGCCAAGCAAAGGGAAATTTATTTACCTTCATGTGAAAGAGAATGTTAACTTTAATAGAAAAAGGTTAAAGATTTTTTAAATCAGGATTTCTTATATTTTCTAAAATGACATGACTTTCAAAGATAATAAAATTTTTTAATTCTAAAAAAACTGAAATATATCTCTAAATCCTCAAGTTTACATAATACCACTTACACTTGGGTCTCTATAATTACAATGTTAGATTCAAATTAATCAGTTCTTAGGAGACTTACCTTATTAGCTTCTATTGTCACTATTCGATTAAGAAATTTCATCATAATTGTTGGTGCCACAGGGTTGAAACTGTCAAAGTTTTATGAAGAAAGACAGTGGTTAGGTAATTACTTTAAAAATAGACTGTGTATATGGACACTATAAGCAGAAATTTCATTCTTACCTAATGTTTGATATAGCACACTCTTCTTGAATTTCTCTGGGAAACAGTAACCTTTGATTATTATCTCCACTGAGACTGTCCGAGATGATAAATATTAGAGGACATCGACCAATCTGCACATACTTCCTAAAACAACAAAATACAGCAATGTTGAAATTAAAGCCACCTGCTATTTAATTTGAAATTTTAGAAAACCTCACTGAAACTCACCTTAGAACTTCATGTAAAGCTTGAGAGTCTCGATAAAACTGGTTAGGTAAATCCTATTGAAAACACATGATAAATATTAATTCAGCTTTATTTCCATAAAAATTTATTTTTAGATTTATAATTACCAAGAGAGAAAAAATGTTACCTATTCAATGTATTGTACCCAGAACTTTCATAGAAATTAAGGGAAACAAGAAACAGCTGATATCCTCAACAGTAATATGCATCAAAGGGAGACCCAATTTTCAGATCAGATTTCTTAGGGTCACTACTGGTTTTTGTATTTTCACTAAGATGTCCTTTTCCAAACATTTCTTCTGCTTTGTACATTTAAGCCATTACATTTTTAAAGTTCAGTAACCTTTAGTAATTCAAGTTTACTGAAAAATAATTTAGGTTTCTGTTATAACAGTTTTATGTTATAATTTACCACTATAAGGAATATAATGTTAATGTCACCATCACATAAGATGTATCTTGCAATTGTTTAATTAGTAGTTATAGCAGGATTTCAAAAGTTGTCCTTACTTCAACCAGAATTATCTTCTTATCAGTTCTCAGATCATCTCCAAACATTTGTAGTTTGTTATATTTTGTTGCTCTTAGTAGAAACTCTTTAAAACCTGCTATCTGAGACTGATAGGGAAATATGTGGAAGCTTGATTCTGAAAGGAAACATATTTAACACTTTTATTTCAACAAATTACAGAAGCATCAAATCTGTTGTTTTCTAAACAAAAATGTTATATTATACATATTACATGAATGTAATTAATATTATATTAATGAATCATTTACATATACATGGAAGAACTCAATACCATAGACTCTAATTAGGCAAAACTGTTCACATTTAAAATATGATATTCATTTCAAAGGACAAAAGTTATCATGGATTACAGTAATTTTCTATACCAATGATGTAACATGGAGTTACTTGACTTTGGAAAACAGCTATGAGTATAACATTCATATAATTGGTAAAACTACTTATGCCTGAAGACTCACCAAATGAGGCATGACTAAAAACAAATTATTTTCAATAGTAATGTTTAACAACAAAACCAGAATAACTAATTAGTGAACTTGGGAATAAGGGAAGTTCTCTTTAGACATGTTTTATGTAAAAGATAGTTTATAAATAGACCTGCTGGACTGTCTAAAGTAATGTTACTGTTTAGAAAGCAGTAAAATTCCAGAAGCATGGTATACAAGCAGCATAAGAGTATGCATACTAAAGATACAGTAAGTCCAGAGCATATTAAAGATCCCAAAGAAGGGATTCTGAGGAATTTTTCACATTAAAATAAACTGTTCTACAGACACCCTTTCATTTCAAAGTAGCCTAGGAGTTTTGGCTATCCCTACTTCACTTTACTTATAACAGCAATTAGAAAAAAAGAGGAAAATTAAAAATGACCATGCTGAAAAGATGGTAGCAGGAGAGGTGAGACAAAGGCTTCCTCCTAAAACCACATATAATACAAAAATATAATTAATACAACTAATTCTGAAAGAGCAGCAGGAAAGAGGACTGTGCCAAACTGCACAAGAAGGAAAGAGCAAATGAATAAACCTCACAGAACGGGGTAACGTACCAAAGCTATGGCCCCTTGGGACCAAAGCCCTTCCCTCACCCCAGCTCACCAGCAGGAGGAAGAGAAACGGGGCGGGGAGGGAGTGGAGGCCGGGGACTGCTGAATAACTAACTCCAGAGATCTGCTCTGGGAGCACAAACATACATTTCAAGGTACTTGTATGGTACTCTCATGATTACGGGGTTGGAAAGCTAAGAAAGGCAGAATTTCTGGAGAGACTGAGATGCCAGCCACTTGCGGAAAGCAGAGATCCATATCCGGCTGCTCTGGGACAAAAGAAAGACGGACAATCTGAGAGGCTTCCTAATAAGGAAGCCCTTAGCAAGAGGGCTGCCAAAGGGGCAAGGACTGCACAGAGCTTACTGCTCAGGAGAAAGGACAGGTAGACAAAATTGTCTGGGTGCACTCTGCCTAGCAGTTTGGGAGCTTTCATGGCACTCCAGCTCCCTGGTTGGCTACACAGATCCAAGGAACCCCTCCGTGATATGCAGCCTGCTGCGCCTTTCTCCCAGCCAGCCAAACATGGCTCGCAAACCAGCAAACTCTACCCTCACATTAGGCAAGCCAGAGGGAAGACCTGTCTATAGCAACTACAAATGCAAAGCATAGAGGCTTATACCTGTATAAGGCTTATAACTGCCCACTGGTTCAGGCAGTGGAGACAGGCATAGAAGCCGGGAAGCAGGAAACAGGTCTTTCCTCCTCCCAGGAACCAAAACCACTCCCCTGCGACCTCCCACATTGCTTCAGGGACTGAGCACCTCTAGAAAGCAGAGCTTCTAGGCACTAGAGGGCGAAATATATAAATATGAAATGCCAAAGGAATCTGGTTCAAAGTAAAATTATGAATACAACTCCTGAGAAAGATTTAAGTGACATCGACCTCATGAATCTTCCTGAAAGTGATTACAGAATAAAAATCATTAACATGCTCATGGAGGTAAAGACAAATATTCAAGAATTCAAGAATGAATTCTGGTCGGAGATCCAACTGTTGAAGAGCACAATGGAGGGTATTAAAAGCAGATTAGATACAGTAGAGGAGACAATAAATTAAAGAGAAACTAGAGAAGAGGAATACAAAGAAGCTGAGGCACAGGGAAAAAATGAAACAGAAGCTAGAGAAGAGGAATACAAAAAGGCTGAGGCACAGACAGAAAAAAGGATCTCTTAAGAATGAAAGATTATTGAGAGAACTGTGTGACTAATCCAAACAGAACAATATTCACATTATAAGGGTACCAGAAGAAGGACAGAGAGAAAAAGGGATAGAAAGTGTCTTTGAGGAGATAATTCCTGAAAACTTCCCCAGTCAGGGCAAGGAGATAGTCTCTCAGGCCAAGGAGGTGCACAGATCTCCCAAAACAAGGGGCCCAGGGAAGACAACATCAAGACATATAGTAATTAAAATGGCAGATCAAGGATAAGGACAGACTATTAAAAGCAGCCAGAAAGAGAAATAAGATCACATAAAAAAGAAAGCCCATCAGGCTATCATCAGACTTCTCAGCAGAAACCTTACAGGCCAGAAGGGAGTGGCATG